AATTATCATGGATCCATCTTGCTTTTGACTCACAAATCAGTTCTTTTCATAGAATTCCATCCACATATCCATCAAAATCCCCTATGTGCTAAAAAAATTCAAGGAGGAACCAACAGAGAATTTTAAAGATGTTACTTAAAGGAATTTTTGCTTTGGAATTATAATTTTAAGAGATAAATGCTTAGGAAGATAAAATTCATTATAGAAGACAATGATAGCCTGTGCTGACAGATAATAAGGAATTTTCTAATGAAAATACTGAATGAGCATACCTAGCCTTAGCTACTAGCCTCAATAGAAGAGCCTAAAGTTAAATATGGCATTTAAGCAAAACTACTTTTTGACCCTAAATGTTGTCCCTTAAAATTAAGGTATTCTATCTGTTGTGATGGCAAATGCCTTTAATCCCAGCACTCAGGAGACAGAGGTACGCAGATCTCTATGAGCTCAAGGTCAGCCTGGTCTATGTAGCAAATCTAAGCCAGCCAGAACTGCATAGTGAGACCCTGTTTCAAAATTTTAAGAAGAAAAATATTAAGATGTTGTTTTAGGCTTTGGGGAAGTTTTAGGTACACTATTTTTAAAAATGTTTAGAACATCCTTAGCAAAACCCAAGAAATGGTTCAATACTTGCATGAATTATGAAATGTAACCTCTTTACCCCCTCAAGTTTTCTTATCTCTGACCATCATCTTCTTTGCCAGAATGTGAGTATACAGAAACATTTCTGTGTATTTCAACTTATAACAGTCTTAGCATCTGTATAGTTATCTAGTTTATATCTAGTTGTGAACCTTTTCTATGGAAAGCTCAGCAATTTTTATTAGAAGATTACTGTTGTTCATGAAAAACATGTTTATAGGACTACATTTTAAGGAAGTTACACATTAATTAGCACCACCAGGTAAATACATGCTTTAAGTAATTAGTGAAAAATCAGCAGTATATTCTTGTCAAAGTCATGATTTTGGGGGACTGGGCTGCCCAGGTAGAATTCTGATTCCTCCACTGACATGAGGTTGGGACCTTGAGCAAAGTGCTTCCCTATTATAAAATGAAGATTTCTTAGTATCATTGTGAAGATCAAATGAGATTGTAAATGTTAGACTTTTACCCTACTGCCTGGCATATATAAATGTTAAATAATATTATTACTAGTTATGGAATCTACTTTTAAAACTATATCAGAATGTCTAAAATAGTCACATGGACCATGGTGGAATGAATAACTTTCTCTATTTACTTCTTGGGCCAACAATATAAATATTACTCAGATATGACCCTGGATACCTATTAAAAGAAATGCAATATGACCTTGTCTGCTATCCCAAGCAGAATCCTAGTTCGTATTTGTTATTCATATGATAAACAAGTTGATATGTTTATAATTGGTATACTATTATTCCAAGAATTATAAAACAAGATTTTCATTTGTTCAGATCCAAGATCCATACTGAAAACAGTCTTTGAATTTTTCTCAAAAATATTTAAATGGAGTATTTTCTTCCCATATCTTAAAAATATTATAATTTCTGTTAGTACATGCCAGAACTTTTCCTTATAATTGCACATAAATTTGTCTCTAGACTTCATTTTAATTCATTTTAGTTTAAAATATATTTATTGCCAGGCGTGGTGGCTCACACCTATAATCCCAGCACTTGGGAGGCTGAGGCAGGAGGATTGCCATAAGTTTGAGGCCAGCCTGGGCTACATAATGAATTTCTTCGGGTAGCCTGGGCTACAGAAAGACTTGCAGGCCATTCTGGGCTACAGAGTAAGCTTCTGCCTCAAAAACAAGACATTATTTTTTATAATACTTTATCATCAGTTGCTATAATGATGATGAGCCAGGCATGACTATGGCAATTACATGAAACCTGATAATCTGTTAAGCATCTGGATAATCTTAATCACATATATACCAATGAATACTATTCCATCTTACGAAACCTGAAAAAGTGAAAATAAGTTCATTCAATATTAATAAACCAGGAGAATTCTAGCAAATAACTTCTGTGTTTATCAATATATTTAAAAGGAATATTAATATCTTAAGCTATTAAACTTAAGCTATAAAGAAGTATTTCCATGTTGTGTACATTTTATATTGCAGTTCTTTCAACTTAATGAATTCAAGATGTATATGGCTATTTTCTATCAAGAGGCTATTTGGTGAAACATAAACCCCATTTAATCATTCTAAAACAACTGCCTGCCCATAGCGACCTTACTGTATCTGACTAGTGGCTGTGGGGTATTTTGTTCTTTCTTAAGTATTAACATGTTTTCTTAATCATTCATTAGTCTTTTTTTTTTTTAGATAATCCAATTTTAGGACAATTTTCAAAGTACAAAATAACTATTAAACAGCATATTCTCTCCTCTCTCCCTCTCTCTCTCTCTCTCTCTCTCTCTCTCTCTCTCTCTCTCTCTCTCTCAGGTGAAAGTAGAGAAGAAAAATTAGGTGACTCATTGCAAGATTTATATAGGGCACTGGAGCAAGCGAGTCTGTCACCATTAGGAGAACATCGCATTTCAACCAAGATGGAATACAAGCTATCATTTATAAAAAGATGTAGTGATCCTGTAATGAATGAAAAACTACACAGGCTGAGAATTCTTAAAAGCACTTTAAAGGTAAGATAAGAAATGAAAGGATGGGCCAGGCGTAGTGGTGCACACCATTGATCCCAGCATTCTGGAGGCAGAGGCAGGCAGATCTCTGTGAGTTAAAGGCCAGCCTGGTCTACACAGTGTCAGTAGTATTAAATGGGAGGGAGGTGGAGCAAGGAAAAGTCAAGAAGATTCTCAAGCAGAGCAAGTGGAAGTGCACAGGCACAAAGGATATCCTGTTAGTTTTTCAGTCAAGTCCTAAATCACTGACTAAATGTTATGTGACTTAGTTCTAGAAGCAAACAGGATCTGACAAAGACTTTTCCAAAAATGCAGGGGTAGTGTTACTCCTCAGGCTTTCAACTTCCTAAGATAAATGCACCATGTAGCTTAATCATTAAAGATATTAAAAGAGCACAGTCTGCATGTCAAATGCCAAAAGGGTTTGAAATGTTTCATAAATATTCCCTGCACAAACTACAACATACATGGAGTGAAGTCACAGTGATTCATGTTCCATGTTGAAATTGCATAACTGTTCCCTCTACATTATCAGTTCCCGAGTCTAATGCTCCTTTCCCATTATACTCTTCCATAAGTGATTAGCATGCTTTTCATTCTTTTGTCACCCCTAGATTGGGAAGCAGGTGGTAAGGACAGGGGAACAGAGAGGCAGAAGTTGAAGAAGGAGCTTGACAGGAAACACTTCACTGTATGAGGAGAGGGGGAAAGGAGCTGCCTTATAAACCACCTGAGCAGGCCCCAAACCCTTAAAAAAATGAGAACAGAAAAATATCATAACAGAATGCATAGTGCAGTAATTTCAAAACACAAAGGTCAACAGGCTTCTTTAGGAAGTGTTTAAATCTGCAGCATGCTACAAAGACTATAATTCTGAAATATAGATATGTCCCAGAGAAGTAAATGAAATCGAAAAAAAATCAATGTTTTGAAAAAAAATCAGGCAATAACATCCAAGTTTTCAGAGTCAATTATCTTTATGGTATTCATGCAGTTGCTGTTGCAAAGACTCAGAACAATCAATGGATTTGGGTAGCTAGGGCCACAATTCTAGGAAGTGACATAATAGTCAGTAGAGTAATTCCAGTGACTAATCTTATTCCAAAGGTGTCCTCATCCTCCTACCTTCCCGAATTCAGTTCCAAACTGGTTAGGAAGGAAGGCATTTTGAAGCAGGTCAGGCCTCCCCCCTCCCCCTTCCTCTCCCTCTTCACCTGTCTCGCCCTCTCTTTCCATGTTTCTCCCTCTCCTTCTCTTTATGCTCTATAAATTCCCCCACAATATTTTCTCCCTGTGAAAATGAATATGAGCCATTGTCAATGCTCAGCTTGGTCAGTTGTTACTCTATAATGGTCAAAGAAAGATAATGGGAAAAGTCACTATAAACAAATGCACCTTCACTGGTTAAAGAAAAAATTAAAGAACTATAGAATACTGTATTTGGGGGCCTGGAAGAGTAATGGGTTGTGAAATCTTCCAACTCAGACAGAAAGTTGTGCCTTTTTTTTTTCTGATCCATATGTCCTTTATTCCATTACCAACCACCACACCACATCTTATTAAAGTTGTGCCTTTTAACTTCTGGCAGAATATTTCCAGGACTTCCATAGCTCTTTCTTGGATCTATAAAAGAAAGGACTGGGTTTCTCAAACTGTATTAACCCTTTCTTCTGCTTATCTTCCACTTCAGGGATTCTTTTCTTCCACACTTTATACTTGTACCCTTGAGAGTTATACCAAAATAAAGCTTAGTCATCAGCTGAGTCCCAGCCTACAATACAGAAAGTACAGCCATTGTCCATTGTAGAGCTCCAGTGCTATGGGAAGGGAGTCTTAGCATTCACACACCAAGAATTCTATATTTGTGGAAACATAGCGGCCCTGTCTATTCTCACGGAGGCATGAGGAGTTTACCATATAGAAGGAGAAACAGGACAAATAACAAAGTAGCTCAAGAGCTGGGTTGTGATAAGTCCACTCAGAGGCAGAGATGGAATGTTATGAGTGCATCGAGAGAGGAAAAACCTCAAGTATTTAGGGAAGGTTTGACGAAATGAGAGACTTTTGAGTTAGATTTTAAACGTAGAGGATGGTTTCCATAAAGCATGAGGAAGGTTTCCATACATAGAGATGGCCACTAGGAAGGGCCAAGAGAAAAAAATTAAATCATACACAATGAGCAATATATGGCATACCTCAAGGCCAGAAAAAATGCACTAGGATTTTGGTCTAAATAACTGAATGTGAACATATCAAATCTACTTCTTGAAGGCTTCTGAATTTGTTTTCCTATTAATGTGTTTTAAACTTCAATAAAGGTTCATCTTAACCTTAACTATTGAATCCTTTTGTTTTTCAGGCCAGAGAAGGAGAAGTAGCCATTATTGATAAAGTCCTAGACAATCCAGACTTGACATCTAAAGAATTCCAACAATGGAAGCAGATGTACCTCGACCTTTTCTTGGATATCTGTCAAAACACCACCTCAAATGACCCACTAAGTATTTCTTCTGAAGTAGATGTAATCACTTCCTCCCTAACACATACTCATTCATACATTGAGACGCATGTGTAAGTGCATTCTGCCTTCAAGCAATCATAGTACCTGCTGGTACTCTGAACAAGTACATAAGGTAGTTTTTTTTTATCCATGTGTGGGACACTTGACAAGCTATACTTTAATGTTACCAAACTATGAAACAAACCATATATGGTCACAGTACCACTGTCTTTAATGAGCATTTGTATATTTTATATGCAGTCAGTGCTCAGCTTATGTTTACCATGTGCAAAATCAACTATCTTTACTGACTTAAATTAACTTTTGCAAACAATTCTGAATACAGGTGGTCTTCAAGTAGTAAAACCACAAAAAGGCAGTTTTCTAAGATCATCTTTTCTCCCTTTAAGTTAATTTTATATAAACGAGAATTCAAAAGTAAATCACATTTTTTCAGGTGCAGACATCCTTATGGGTGGGAAAGAATTTAAACCTTTTTTATATTTATTAAAGTGTTCTAAGAATTTTCTTAAACATTGCACAAAGTTTAATGCTGTAGTTTTATTTTTGTGAAATGTAGGTGCGTATAAAGAGTTAAGCAAAATAGAAGAGCATCGACATAAGAAAAGTTCAGGTATCTAATATTCGTCTTAATAGTCTATTAACTTGTGATAGCTGGTTAATGGAAATACGATTCCAAATCTATGAGAACACTTAATGGTGTATCAGGGCAAAGCTTTGTAAGATGTTTTTGTAACTAAGACCAAAATTGAAGATAGAGCTGCTTTATTTTCTTGGTTTAAAACTTCCTTTATTTTTGTAGTGATGAAATGCTGATTGTGTACAGAAGAATTTAAGAATGGATTTTTTTAAACAGACTTAACTCACCCAGAAAGGCAGCTAACAGCTATATATACATAGGTTCAGCCCAAACTCGTGTTTTTGAACTCTTAACTCTTAAAAGACAAGGTATAAACTGAAATGAGTGAATTTTCCAGGTAGTTTCCAATTTTCCCCTGGTCTGTTAGCTAAGCTTCGGTAATTATACATCAGGCAGGGAAGTAAAATACATTTAGTTGTGGCAGATAGATGTTGCAATAGAGAAAACAATGTGGAAAACATTTTAATGGACTTCTCTAATAAGGAGCAAGAGGATGGTGGTCATTCAGAGAGATGTCACACTGAATTACATGAGAGAAAAAATTTAGAGGTTTTTCTAGCATTGTGAATTGCTTATAGAGTGGATGAAGTCTATGAAAAAAGTCCTCCTCATATATTTCCATTTATAAGCATCTAGTTTTTGAAAGTGATCACAGCATGAAAATGACTGTGCTGCTTTTTAGTGTCTGGCTGCGTAACGTACAAGTCACAATTTGCTGTTTTTTCAGGAGGAAAGGACCCTCCTTTATTATTCTATATCCTAAAATCTACTTCTAATCAGCTTTATACTGTTGCCTGTACAGCTCAGTGAATGTACTTACATCTTAAGAGTTCATATATATGCCAGTGAATATTTTTGCTGTAGAGGAGAAAGTGAAAACTCCACAGCGGGGATCTTTTTCTTTGCATTTGAAACCACCATTGAATCACTATCGTTTTGCAGACTTTGCACAACTGTACAGGAGAGTGGCCTTTCTACAGCACATTTTCAGTAATCCTATATTTAGTCAAAATGGATGACAAATCATGTACTAATGTTTGTATGGAATTTTGGGTCCAGTGTAATATTTTTATCATTTAAAAAACCCTATTTGTAAAAAACATTTATTTACTGCATGGATATTGACACACATTAAATTTGTGAGATTTTTGTATATGAGAGAGAGAGAGAGAGAGGGAGAAACAAAAAAAAAAACACAAAAAACCCTCTTGTCCTAATATGAAGTGTGCTTGTTACAGGTGTTTAGACGTTGATGTTTACTAGACCAAATGTGTATGATCATTTAAATATATTTGTACATGATGGACATGTCATGTATACAGTGGACAGGTTGTAGCCTGTGCAAAACAAGCAGTTGATGGGAAGGTTAGCTCTGTTGGTACCAAACAGCTTCTACTTTTGTAAAGTCAGCTGTTGTTTTACATGGTAAAAATTAAAACTAATGAATTTTACAAGACTCGTGGCTAGCCTAGCATGAAAGAGACCTTAAGAACACTATATATCTGTACATTTTATTGCATTAGTTTCAAATCTAGGAGAGAGGCAACACTGTAAACTGAAGTCAAATAAATTCAGCTCTTAATGAATCCTTATAAATCACCAACTTTATTCATGCAAAGTGCTTACCACATTTCTCTATGACCTAATCACACAGTCACCCTCACTAACACAACCCCAGTTACAAGTTCTCACTTTGTCACCTCACTGATGGCACAAGCCAGAAGTAACACCTGCTAGGAGCTTACAAATAGCTTTTCTGAGACCTTGAAAAGTCAAAATGGTTTCCCACTTACCTGAAACAACCTTGAACATTTCACCTACTCCTGTTTCCCTTTTTTGTGATTCTTTTGGGGAAGGGAGCCTGGGGGTGGGGGAAGACCACCAAAAGTAGTTAATTATTTTTTACAAATATAGCCTATTGTGGTTAAGGGTTGCTGAAATATTACTCAACCAAATGAGCTGCCTACAGCCAGTGTGAAAGCAGGTGGGGACGGGGAACAGAAAAAAATTAACCAAAGATAGTTTCTCAAAGAAATGCTTTCTTAGAGACCTTTTCCCCGCAGTCCCTTATTATGGAAGTATCAGAGCAGAACTCTGTGGCTTTGGATCATAAAATCTTCTCCTTACAATTTCATGCAGTTTAACCCAGGTGCTTCACTCCACGATTGATTCAAATACTATCATGTTCTGGGACTATTATAGCCTTTATAGCTAACAACTTTCTTGAGGGGGGCAAGACATGAAAGTAGTCACTGGCACCTAAGGGAAATACTTAAAGAGGGGAAATAAGGTCCCTTTTTAAACACCCTTCTCTAACCCAGTGTGAGTCTTTCTGAAAAATTATCAGTTAAGTAAAGCTGATTCATATCTTTCCATTTGACCTTTCCTCTTTTGGCTATCCTGTAGTTCAAAGAGAAAGGTTTTTCTTCTGTGAGGGATCTTGTTTGCCTCCTTAACCCTCAGAACTGTCCTATCCGTTCTATCCGAGTCCCAATTCTTAGGAAAAAATTGCTCTACAAGCAAGATCAAGAAAAAATTTCTCCTGGATTCCCTGGAAACATCTATTCAACCCAGCACTAAATCTAGCGCCTCCCCAGGCTCTCCCTCCCTCTCTTCTTCCTGACCTTCAGGCAACTGCAGCACAGCACACTGAAGGCCACTCCAGGCCCAAGGCAGTGCACAGCCAAGGTCTTCCCAACGGTCCAGGTCGAGGTCATAGCCCACTACATTCCGGGTAGGCACCTGGCGTGATTGCCGCCACTTAAGACCGCCCAGTAGCAGCACTGTCTCTTCTACCACTGCAAGTCCGTAGCAGAATCGGTCATAAGGTAGTGCCCGCAAACGCGTCCACTGGTCTGTGCCAGGGTTGTAGCGCTCGATCTCGGAGAAAGGCTCATATCTTCCTAGAAAGGCAAACACTGCGCCTTGCAACACTGCAAGGTGGTGCCCATAGCGGGCTGTGCCCATGGGCGCCCTCTTGTTCCAGACCCTCTCTCCTGGGCCAAGGGAGTACAAATCCCTGAGGCTACTTGAGCCTCCCTCGGCTCTCCCGCCCTTGCCCCCCGAGATGTACACAACACCGCGCTCCCCGACGGCACCCGCGTGACCGTGCAGTGCGCGTGGCAGCATCCCAGCTGCTGTCCAGCGGTCCCTACGCAAGTCGTACATCTCTACAGAGGCCAGTGCCTCGCCGCAGGCGCCCAAGCCCCCAACAGCCAGGAGACTTTCGCCCACGACACCACACCAGAAGTAGGCCCGAGCTTCTTGCATGGCGGGCACCTCTGTCCAGGTGTGGAAGCGTGGGTCATAACGGTGCACTTGGGCGGTGACTGACCTTGGACCATCAGCCAGGGAGCTAGAGGGGCTGCCAGAAAGGCTCTCCCCTCCCAGGACAAACAGGAAGTTGCCTGTGGTACACATGCTGTGACCCAGTAGGGGTGCAGGCAGCTTTGTCAAGCTGTGCCAGCTGTGGTTGTACACGTCAAAGGACACCACGTCCTGGGTGAGCTCCCACTCTTTCTCTTCTTCCATCTCTTCTTCCTCCTCTTCATCTTCCCCCTCCTCCTCAGGTTCAGGTGCAGGGTGCCGGTTCCTTACTATCCCCCGTGGGTCCACGACTTCCTCAGTAACCGTCTCCCGAGCCCTGCATCCCCCAACCAACAAGATACGGATCTGGGGGCTCCGGATACTGGTCTGTTCGCCCTGCATGAGCGGCTGGCGGGAGGGTGCTGTGTGATAGTTGAGGGCCTGAATGATGAGGCCCTTGACCCGAGTGGGTAGGGTGAGGCCTGAGCCTGAGTACATGCGCCGCAGCACATCTGCAGGCACTAAGCCAAAGCGGATACAGCCAAGCACCGTTGAGCTATGTGCCAGGCGCTGAGCGGCCGGTTCCTGCCGCAGCCAGGCCAATGCCAGGCCCAGCAGTTGTGCCTCAGATACCCGTGCTACGTTGGGGGCGCCCAGCACAGCCTTCAGGGACATAGGATTGAGTTCCAGCAGCCCCGCAGGGCCCATGCCCATCACAAGGAGCCCCCGCAGGTGGCGCACGATGCAGCGTTCTGCCACGTCCAGGGTGTGGGCCAGGCCAAAGCGAGCAGCCAGATTGGCAATGAAGCAGCAATTCTCTGGGGACAGCTGACGCTCCAGGTAGTGGCCACACAGTCCCAAGGCCTCTGTGACTTGCAGATAACTTGCGGCCTCCAGAGTGTCCTCCACAGTGTCCATGGAGAGGGGCAGCCAGGCAGTGTAGATGAAGTCCAACAGGCGCTGCAGGCCTGCCGCCGACGGCACGTGCAGATGAATGACAGGCGCGCGGGATTCCCGAGTGTGGCTCTTGAACAAGGCTTTGAAGTAGTCGCTGGAACAGGCCAAAAGCGACCTGTGCACCGGGAACTCGCTGCCCTCGACCTCTAGTGTCACATCGCACAAGAAGCCCTCAGCACGTAGGGCCTGATAGCCGGTGAGCAGTGAGCCCCCATGAGCTTTGCAGTAAGATAAGAAGTAACTCATGATGCCCGAGGTGGCGGGAAGCTACCAGGAGGGGAGTGGTGCCAGCCAAGCGCAGCTGGAGGCATCCCGGGGCACAAAACCCCCAAATTGCCCGCTGGAGCTGCAGAGCCCCCTAGCAAAGGCCCATTTTTGTCTGCTCAGCTTAAAATTCAGGGCTCCTTCCTCCAGGCCCGCAGGTCTGCCCGTGCCCCTCTCAGGGGAAAACCTATGTAAAGAAGGTTTCCAAAAAGCCCTAGTAGCGAAGGATGAGGATTTCCGAGACGTCCAGAGATTGCTGGGATTGGTTTCTTCTGCGGAGAATGACAACGCGTTCCCCAGCGTCTCCTCCCCCACACAATTTGGGGAGCCCACACTCGCGTGCCAGGGGCGGCGGTGGCCGCGCACCATCACCTGGAGAGGTCGAGCTGCCAGGGCACCAGCGCGGGTGCTGGATCTCCAACGCGCCAGATGCGTCGATGTGGCCCCTGCTGTGGGTGTCCAGGGAGCGTGGGCTGAGGGCTCTGACCTCCTGGGCTTGGAGCAGGAGGACAAGTTCTGCGGGCACCCGCGCAGTCCCAGGACAACTGGCTAGGGGGCAGGGGGTGAGTTTGTTCCGCGCAGTGGATCAAATCAAAGCCTAGAGGATTGGGGGGAGCGGGTTGGTAGCAGGATTGGAGGCTGCACATTACACGCCGGTAGCTCACAGGGACAGGAATAGTGCTCGCCTAGGCCGGCCTGGCGCGCCCCGCCCCCAACCCCGGCTGCTGGCTGCAACTTGTCATCAGAGCCTGGGAGGAAGCATCCCGGGCCAGGTCCCTGACTCTGGTGACCCGACTGGCCGTCAGTCCCCGGGGGTTCGGTCACTGGAACCCTTTGGGGAGTTGATTTGTTAGGGAGCCAAAGTTCATTAAAGGCGGGAGTCCCTGAGGACGCTTGGCCTCCTGTTGTTCTGGAAGGGGTTGCTGTCTGTGCTGAAACACTGGCGACCTCCTGATGCCCCTGTGCCTGGAAAAGAAGCCCTAGGCTTAACTTTCGACTTTGAAGAGACCCTAATTAGTCCCGCACAAGCGGGGATTAAGCAGCGATTTTTGAGCTCTGACACCCTGGCGGCTGTTGTGCTCAGAGAAGACTGGCACTGGCCACACCTGAGCGAATCCTGGGCTCCCTGAGTAACTCCCTCCTCACCTGCACTCTGGGCTGTGGGATCCTGGGACCACTCTGGGCCCCTTCCGGGTGCAGACCAGCAAGCCTCCCAAGCTACCTTGTTTCACATTTGGGCATTTGCTCGCACATCGTCTCTGACCCCAAATAAGATCCCTTTCCTGTTCTTCTGGAATCCATATCTTTGCAGCTGGGAGAAGTTGTAACTACCTTGATTTTTCTGTCTTTGAATGCCACGCTGTGATCTAATTACTGGTTGCTGCAGCTTCAATGCCATAACAAGGTAATGGATAATAAAGTAGCAAAACTCAGTAGAGTTGTAGTTTCTATGGCCCATCCTCATGAAGTTATTTTTATAAGAAACACCCAGCACAGAAATGATGACTAAAACTACCTCGCCTGCATCTGACTCCTAAAAGACTAAATGGCTAACATAACTGTTCTTTCTTGGCAATTTGGAGGCTTCAGTTTTGTTTTGCTTTCATCTAGAATTTATTTTCCGTAGTTTCCAACATGACCCCTCTGGCAATCTGTTTTGGGTGAGTCTTTAAAGAGTGTCTGAAAAAAGTTATATTTCAGACTGTTGAAGTTGTATTTCACAGGAGAAAAAATAAAGTCCTAGGAAGGGTAAAACTCGGTCCTTTCCTATTCTGTGTGCCATCAGTACTTATAAGGTCTCCAATCAGAAGTAATTCTTTAATTGCATAAAATGTTAATAAAAATAATTCTACTGCCAAAAATAGAATTGAAATATAGCTTAAATTGCCAAATTATAAAGTGCAGGTAGGGGCTGGGATTACATTTTCTTAACTTTAGACTCTAAAAGTGTTCCAACAAAAATTGACAATGTCCAAGTGGGCAGCCCCAAACACACACATGTACATAGACTCAATGCATTGTATACAGAAATGTCTTTTTATAAATATATGTATATGTAACAAGAATAAAGAAGAGGACAAGAAATTGTGAGTGAGTTGAGAGAACATGGGAAGATTTGGAGGGGAACTGGAAGGGCTTGGAAATCATGTAAATTCAATACTCATGTAAGAACTTCTCAAAAACTAAAAGATACACATTTAAAAAACAAAAAAGATCTAATGTTAGAGGTACAAACAGATTCATGAAGGGTGTTGTTCTTTGGGAGATGCTATAATGTTTGGTTCAAAAGTGAAATACCAGTACGGTTCATTTTGCACAATTCCCATTTTAAACTTAAGTGGCCTTCACTCAACATAATTGAATTTTGCTAGAAAGGAATTTGGGAGATCATTAAGCTAAGCCTTGGACTTTTCCTCCAAAATTCCATACTTCCTTTTAAATAAATGTGGCAAATGAGCACCAGAGAAGAGTCTACTTTGTCTGGATGATTTTGATATTGAGCTACAGAATCTGGTCACGAATCCAGGGCTCCCTTCCCACTATATTGTGTGGCCCAATGTAAGATAAAAACAAAATTAGTGCAACAGACATTACTTAAGCCAAATATTCAAAGTGATAAAGTACATTCATCATCTTATTAATTTAAAAACAACAGAGTTTTTTTGAACAGCATGTTTTATTTTACTCCGAAGTCAAATCACATTCCAACAGACGTCCATCAACAAGCATTTAAGTTGAATTCAGAATGTCACATTTCAGAATTAAGATGCTGTCAAATTTTTTAAGCTCTTACCATCAAAACTCCAGTTTTACATAAAAATAATGTGTTTATTGCTAGCGCAACATGCCAACCTAACATGTTTTGCCAGTGAAGAAGTGATGGAGTGTGTTAACTGAAATCATGTTTACATTATTTGTGCTTGTAAAACCTCTTTTAGAAAATGTAACTGTCAATCCAAGAAAACCACTGTCCTTTGAGTAATGGTTGTGTACTGTTAAGAGTTTTTATTCCTGTACAATATTAAGTATGCTAAATAAAAAATTTAGTGTGTGTGTGTTTAAACTGTGTAAGATATGGATCTTAAATTGGTATCTTAGTCCAGTCAGGCTTCTATAAGAAAGTACTTTAAAGAGGATACTCTATAAAAAAGAGAAATTCCTTGCTTAAAATTCTGGAAGCAAGGAAGTCCAAGAAAAAGAAGCAAAAGATTCAGTGTCCAGCATAGACTCTACTTCATAGATGATACCTGCTTACTGCACCTCACATGGCAGAGACAGAGAGGCAAACAGACTCCCTAAGGCATTAATCCTATTCACCAAGGCAGAGCATTCATAGTCTAATCACTTCCCAGAGTCCATACTTCTGAAAGGTCTTACAATTGGAGATTAAGTTTCAACATAAAAATTTGGGAAGACACCTATATTCAGACCGTAACAATAAGGATTCCTAGAAACTTGCCTTGTGATGCAACCTGAACAAATATTGGTGGGTGGATCTGATGGAATTATATGCTCATTCTGCTTAAAATGTTATGTTTATGAGTTGCCCTGCCCCTGGTAATCTATCAACTCCTCCAGAGGAAGAACTGTTTCTTGGCTTCTGTATCTCAGCTTCTATCTTAGTCCTTGGAACAAACAATGTTGTGTTGAACACATGCAGGGAAGGAACAACCGTTGTTCTCCCTTCACACAACTTGGGTTTAACACACTTCCTGGTAAGGCCATGAGTTTACATCCCTAAGAATCAAATGAGTAACCACAGGTGGCTCTGACTATGAAGTCTGAGTGAACTTGACCCTTCTGAGGGTTTAGTACCTTGTCTACTGCCTGGTGCTGTCCTGTTTCCCCTATCCTTTAGCCAGACCAAACCCACATGGCTCTCACATCTAGTTACATGTACTACTTGCCCCCACTACCCAGATACATAGTTCCCCGATACACTAGAAGTTCCTCATGTTCCAGTTAGCATGGCTGAGCTTCTTCAGAATGCCTCACTCCTCACCCTATCAAACCTAATGAAACTCTCCAAATTGCCCTGAACCCTCAGTACTTGTCATACCTGTGAACTGCTGTTGCTAATGTCTTCTGTTCACCCTCATCTCTCTAATAAAATCTAGAACTAACACTCTACAAGCATCCTTCTCAATCTCACATCCAAGCTGTGGTGCTGTTCAGCCAGAACACTCTACCTGCCCTGAATTGGCCTTTCAGCATGAAATCCAAACTCCATATTCTCATCTCTAAAATAACTGCACATTTTAAAAAATACCAAATATCCATGTATAGTGGACACTTAAAATGTTTTACATTTGGGATTGGGGAGATGGCTCAGACAGTAAAGTACTTTCTCTGCAAGCTTGGGAACCTGAGTTCATATCCTCAACACCTACATGAAAAGCTGGGCATACTCTTGTAATCACAGTGTTAGGGATGTGGAGACAAGATGGCCCCCTAGAGATCAATAGCCAGCTACTCTTTTCAAATCGGAGAGCTCCAAGTTCAGTAAAAAGACCCTGTCCTAAAAAAAACAACGTAGAGAGCAATCACAGAAGTACCTGATATCAACCTCTGGCCTCCACACACAATTGCACATACCCAGATGAATACATACATACATGCATTCTTACATACATACATACAAACCACACAGACAAAAAATGTTTTACAAAATTCACTGTACACTTTTTGGTACTCTTTTTGGCATATTTAAGCTTATAGGCCATCCAGTTCATCCATGTTAAGGTTACCAGGGGCGGGTTAGCTCGTTCTATACTTACTAACTTTTTTCAATCCAAATATCCTTCCTACCAACACATGGTTTCTGGAAACCTTTATTACACATTAAGTTTATTGTGAAAATACAAGTTACAAACAATAACATGTATGCAGTATATAAAAACTCCCATATTATCTTCACCTTTATCTTGGGACCATTTTTTTTGGCTCTATGAAATATATTTTATCTTTGTGGCATGCAATTCCAACAAAAAGGTATGTGTTTGAGAGAGAGAGAGAGAGAGAGAGAGAGAGAGAGAGAGAGAGGAGAGAGAGAGAGAGAAAGAATCATGAGTTATGTCATTCTAGGCCAGCTGGTAGCTTAAATGTCATGTGGGAATGGTCTCATATTTGCAGTCAGACAGCCTTGCCAGACTTGACCCATGTGACCATATAGCAAGTATCTTAAATTTTGCAACTTTTTTTTATTTTTAAAAGGCTTGTCACGGATGGAGACGTGGCCCACCAGTTAAGAGCACTGGTTGCTCTTACAGAGGACCCAGGTTCAGTTCCCAGCACTCACATGTCAGCTAACAACCAACTGTAATTCCAGTTCCAGGGGATTCAATGCCTTCTTCTGGCCTCCATGGGCATTGCATGACATGGGTGCACTTAACATGCAGGGAAAACATTCATACACATAAAATAATAAAGAAAATATTTTAAAAATTAAAAAAGGCTTGTGACTCACCATTCATGCAACTGTTAAAATACACACACACATGTGTGTGTGTGTGCGCGCACACGCGCGCACACAAGAGAGACAGAGACAGAGACAGAGAAAGATGGGCTTTGCCCTCTCTTAAGTAAAGTTATCTGAAAACTCACAGTACACAAAGTAAAGCAGGAAATATAATAGACAAATGGGTCTCCTGTACCATCATCACATGGGGCCAAGGCATTCTCAGCTAAACCTCAAACTTGCCGAATCAGAATATCTAGGAATGAGGCCAGCATTCAGCTTTAACAGGCTTTCCCCATTACTTTGATGCATGTGAAAGTTTGAGAACCACTTCCCTTAAAGTCTTTTAAGTTCTACGGCATCCTGAATTCACGATTCTAAGTAATACTTGTTCTGGGCATGATATCAATGTTTCCCATAAGAGAAATTTATTAATCCTTTTTCTCTTGCCAATAATACAATACCACAGAATGGTTAAGCCATAACAAAAAGAAGTTCATTTTGCCCACATTTCTGGAATGCAAGGTCAAGACTGACCCACATGTGGTAGTGGCCTTCTTGCTGCAGAGACCTGAAGCAGTGCAGGAACTCATGTAGACAGAGACACAGCAAGTGTATTTGTTTGTATGTGTGTCTTCTAATCTCTCCATCTTCTAAAAGGCCTTGAGCTGGCGTGGTGGCACACACCTTTAGTCACAGCACTTGGGAGGCAGAGGCAGGTGGATCTCTGTGAGTTCTAGGCCAGCGTGGCCTACATAGTGAGTTCCAGGTCAGCTGGGGCTATAGGGAGACCCTGTCTCAAAAAGACCAAAAAAAAAGGCCTTGAGGATTCAATCATGATAACCTCTTCTAATCCCAATCAGCTCCCAAGGTCCCACCACAGATTCAGTTTCCACCCTCTTCATACCTCACAATAGGGGTAAAATTTCAATACCTGAAACCAAGGCACACATCACAGCAGGAAGAAAGTTCATTCATTTTAAAGTTCAGAGATTGGAGACTCAAAAGGGAACAATTAGTGATGTATTCCCCTTGTCATGTATCTTAAAAATAAGAGCTTTTACTTTTTTCCTCTATTACCCTCACTAGATGACAGTTTTAACAGTAGTTTACCAAAGCTGGAGATGATGACTTAATTCCCAACACACACACACACACACACACACACACACACACACACACACACACCTGAATACTCACCTCTGAAATCAACTCTGAAGGCAGCCATAGCACCCATATCCTATCTGGAGGCCATATTTCCAGAGGCTCTTGGATGAAAAACTAAGTATCCAAAGAAGCCAGGCAAAGGTTTTGGGTTTAGAACCATTCATTCTCATTCACAGGGTGGAGGTAAAGGAATTAGAGAGTGTACGCTAAGAAAAAGAACCCCCGGGAGTTCAGTAACCACTATATTCAACTTTCTAAGAGTGAAAGGAATCAGAGGTAGTCTCTGTGCCAGAGGGCAGAATTAGAAGAAGTTTAAATAAATAAATAAATAAATAAATACTGCCATAGTATAAATAAGAACCCACTACTAACTTAGGATATTGAAATGTATATAAGTTAAAGACTTAGAATGTGTCAAGCCATAAGGATTATATGAGGCTTGAAGAAGACAACTTGCCAAAGGTGACACAGCTTAGTAAACTTTGCTAGAGCTACATATGTCCCTTCTAACTATTTATGATTTGAGGGCCCTCCAGTGCCACAGGTTCTTTTTTTTGGTGGTGGTGATTTTTTTGTTTTGTTTTGTTTTTTTGTTTGTTTGTTTCCAGCGGCACTTACTTGGTTCCCTTTGTGGGCAGAAGTCCCTATGCTGCAAGAATCCATCTTGCTTGTGCATATGTGAAGAGATGCAAAAGTGCCTGCAAGTTTGCATCTCCCAAGGGCCACTCTTATTTATTGACAGACACGGTGCAAACACTCCAGATCCCTGTCCAAGCGTGCTCTACACCATTTCTACAGCTCACCTATTGGACTGAGCCACAGTTACCTTCTGTGGGAGCCTGCTTCATGTCACATGCTTACAGGACCCCTTCCCTTTCTTGTCTCCCCTCCCCATACCTACCACACTTTCACAGAAACTCTCATCTCAGGAGGAACCCATGCCCTTATAGAACACCACCCAAGTCACACTTGGCAGTTTTGCAGGGAGGCAAACATGACATCCACAGAGTGATATGTGATCCACTGAGCAGACCTGATGAGGAGCAGTGCTAGGGATGTACGCTCACCTGTGTATCCAATGGAATAACTAACTACACCAAAAAGTGAAGACAGCCTCATACCAAAAAGGCATCTCGACTTCTACTTACCTGGTCTTTCAGTGCTGTTCTGGAAGTTGAAATGAACTCAAACTCCAGACACAGCATGCCACTGTTTAGAGCTACTAGCCTTTTAAGACCTGTCTACAGGTACTATCTAAATGTTTTAGTTAAAGTCCTTGTTCTGTTGAACTGATTTTCACTGTGTCAACCAAACAGCTCTCACCTCAAAGCAATAAAAGAGATGGCTTATTCCGAATCCAAATATGAGTTACTATGACCCAGAACACTGATTCAGTTTCTTCAAGTCCAATGAGGCAGCAATTTCAT